GACCTTGGCTGGAGAGAGAGGTGGGGTGCAGGGCACCGTGAGATCCGCGTCAGGCGGGCTGATCAAGCAGAGCGAAAGACGATCGACAATAAGCCTTGTGCCCCACCAAAGCCAAACAACAATACAGGGCATTATTGGCTGCCTACGGAACTCATTGCAGCAGTAATAATTACTGCATCATCGGAGCTTTGTTCCTTTTCAAACGTTGCATGATCGGCCCAAAGCGGGAAATTAGCTTTGAACTTTTGCGATTTTCGTTATTATCTGCTTTTATGAAAATTAACTTTCATTAGCTTCCTTCGACTTTGACACATGTCCGTCGAATTGAAGTGAAGTTGTTTTGGGGCGGTATTCTACTCAGCCCTTCACAAGCACAACTCAAATGTTCCGGCAGGATAGCGCAAAAAAAATCCTAGGTGAATTATTGGATTGAGCGTAGTTTCGCAAAAAACACCCTTCCGTGATCGAGGGCGAGCAGTAATGCGTTTTTAAAATGGAGACACCCGCCCGCGCCGCCCACACGCCACGAGACAGGCAGCAGCGGGTCTCTGATGCAAGTAGGATATCTTAGATCACTCTCGGGACCAGCAGCGGGCGGGCAGGCAGGCGGGTAGGCAGGCGGGCAGGGCCCAGATGGCCAAATAACATCATGGGAAATAATGTTGTTGCGAGATGGCATGCCGCCCTGTCCCGCCCGGTAGCTCTCCCACACAGTGCCAGCTAGAACAGCGCCAAAACCACTTCGTCCAGTTTTGCACACTTTTCGTGTTTAGCGGCAGGCAAAGGAAATGTGTATTCTTTGGAGCCGGTCGAGCCTCGAGCCCCAGGCAAGTACCAGGCATGACGTCAGCAGGATTCACGAAGGGACTTAAAGTCTTCACAAGTCCGTTTTCAGCGAACTTCTCAGGTTGACGAGAGGTGAGCAGTGTCAAGGGGACGTTTACAGGCCAGTGCGGCGAGATCCGCACAGCTAGCACTACAGACAGTTCGCAGAGCCTTTCTCAAGTCCGGCAGACTCAGCAGGACACGAGCTCTTTCCGTTGAGCTCCTTCCGTGGCAGGCCTTTTCCCTCCAAATCCAGGCGGATAAACGTGCTTGACTTTTGGGTGACCGCGCACCGCTGCGAGGCCAGCCGCAAATCGCCTTCTGCTACCTCTGCCTCGCCTCGTCCTTTGGAGGCGAGTCTCCCCGCCCGCGGTGACAGACGCGCCACGCCGCGCCACGCCCGCCGGAACTTCCGAAACGAAACCGCAGTCATGCGGTCTGCTCCGTCACAGCACTTCCGCGTGCACAGCCCCGCTTTACAACTTCGGAAAAGGTTCACCTCACACCTAAAACGTAAAGCGCTGCAAAGCGACATAGCTCTTCCCGGTCCCACTAGAGGGCACGTAAGAGTTCACAAGAGGCCACAGAACGAGTTGTAAGCGGTCGTGAATTTGAGGTACACCCAGAAAATGGTTTCCTGGAAACAGCCTCAGCCTCAAATAAAGAAAAATTGGCATTGAATGAGGACGACATGTGTTCACCTTGTTTCAAAAGATGCTGTTTTTAAAACAGGGAAATATACAGAAAAATCCCTTGTCTTTTTCAGGGAAGCCATTTTCGGTGTGTATACAAGAGCCGATGACAGCTCCAAACGTCGATGCAACAAGAGATCGGCTTCGGACTTCAGACCTCTTATTGTGAGATCTCACTAATGAGGACGTAGTTCCGTTCAAGACTCTCATTTTTCGTCCTCCCTTGGCCCTCCAAATGACTGCTCTTGGTCACTCCCTCCCCATGAAGCGTTTAGTTCCACCAGGGCATCTCCCTCCCTCCCTCTCTCTCTTCCACTTTCTAGGCAAACCGATAACCTCGCCGCCAACATCTCGCCGCCGGCGTTACGTGCTACCGCCATACACAATCAATAATGGTGGCTTCCTCCGCAAAACGGCCCCTCATAACACACATCGCCGAGCCGAGCGAGCGAGCGAGCGAGACAGAGAGCGTGGTGTAACATTACGCGCGCCGTATTGACTTTCCTGAATGGAGTAACGCCCATGGCAGCAGGTCAGACAGTGCACTTCCAGAGCGCCATATACGCACATATAGAGGCCGTTGGCCGTTCCATTTTTAATGCATCCTGCTGCTGCATGTCGTAAATAGTGGAGTGTAATGCAAGGCACGTACAAAAAAAGCTGATAACACCATCCTGCTGACACACGCACGAAGGAAAACCTTGGAGTAAAAAGTCACTTCAGACTAAAGCGGTTTCACACTCGACTCCTGGTGCTTTTTCTCCGTGAACTTGCATGACCATTTCGCCACACGCGTCATCATCAAGAGAATGACACTCACTCCTTCCTGCTGCCTTACGCACCCTTTCGTTGGTAGAGCGCACACACGCTCGCGCTACACTTTGGATAATTGTGAGGAGTCATGCTCCTGCCTTGCTTTCTTCGGCATAATGTCGGGAGGCGGGGATCGCAGGGCGTGGCGTGGCGGGGTGGGGTGGGGCACCCCGCCTTTCCCACGATCAGCCACGCGGCGCGCGCACTCGAAATGCAAACGAGAGCGGAAAGCAAAGAGGGAAGAAGCACGCCCGCCCGCCGCAGGACGGAGTCCGCGCGAGACTGGTCCTGTCACCTCTCCCGATACTCGGAGTGTTCACAAAATTGGTCATGGGAGACGAGAGTGCGGCGGCGTGCGACCAGCAACTCACGCACTGCTCCGTCCGTTAGACTCACTCCAAGCGCAGCGCTTGTGATTGTACCACAAACGTGATGCAGGAGGCACAACTATCGCACCCTCGTCTAGCACCCAGAAAATACAATCATTGAATTTGACCAAGTGGTACACACTTTAATCAGAGGATTATTTTCCGCAACGAGGGACATGGAAACTTAAATCTCATTTCAATTGATCTTAAGGATCAATGCAAAGTCTTCAGATTAACCCTATTATAGGATGCGGACACCCATTGCCAGAGGGGGTCGTTCATCTGTCGTATCCCTATGGGACGTCACCTGCGACGTATGCGGCGTTTGGCGTGCGGCGCAGTACATTGGCGCGCCTCCCCCCTCCTCCTCTACGCTAATGAAACCATCAAGATGCCAAAGCGCGGCGGCGCGGCGGCAGCGGCGGCGGCGGCGGCAGTAGCAGACGCTCCCCGTGCAGTTGGGCGCGAGCTAAGTGGCTTCTGTCAACACCGCGACCCCCGCGGTCCCGCCGCCAGCCGCGCAAGCCGCGCCAGCCGCATCAGCTGCTGGGTAATTATTGCCATTCGTCACGGGGACGAGGAGGACCCAGGAGGGGGAGGGGGAGGGGGGAATGCAGATCAGCCGCGGCCGCGCAGTTTTTTGCCCCGCGCCGCCGCCGCGGCCCGCGCCTGCCTCCCCGAACGAGGCCGGCTTTCTCACTGACTGATTACCTTATTATTTACAAGGACTGTCTTCCTCCGCGACTTCTCCCCCCCCCTCCACCTTCTTTTCCTCTTGATTCTCATTTTCTCCCCCTCTCTCCAGATCGCAAAACATTCCAGATCACACAGTTTTACAATAGCCCCATAGAAGGGCCCACTTGCTAATTCTCCAGAGCACTCCAAGCCAACGCCCCGCCGCCGCCGGCCCCACACAGCCCCTCGATAGTTTTCTTTACTATGCTGACTTTTTTTTTTCGGGCCCAACCGGCGCGCGGCGTCGGCGCTCCGCTCACTTGCACGTCAATGAGGGGAAATCCTTGGCGAGAAACACCAGAGCCAGGGCCAGGGCGCGGCCAAAGCACGACGCGGCGCGTGAGAACGCCCCCGCGGGGCGTGGTGGGGCGGGCCGGGGCGGGGCGAATGGCAAACTGTCGCGCACACACGACCGCAACGACGCATTGGAAAGCCACCAATGAACGACGTTTCGACCCAAACGGCAGCGCGAACCCAACCCGTACGGCCATATACGCGCCGCGGGCGGACAAACGCAGCATAGCATGAGCGTAACAGACCTGTCGACTCGAAACACTCGTCCGTAAAGTCCCCTGCTGCCAACGCGTGCAATTGCTTAGTCTTTGACCAACACGTTACCACTGGGGCTCACAAGTTATAGGTTTAAGAATGAATTCCAGCCCTTGGGACGAGGTCGTCAAACCGCGTCTCGAATGGAGGACACGTTTAGTCCGAAGCGCACATAGGCAATTGCGATACGTACAAATAAACGCCAGTTTAACTTGTCTTTTACACCTGCGGAAGGGTCAGCGGCGGCCCTCCTCCTAGGGCTGGAGCTTCCCCCGAGGCGCGCGCGAAGCCCCTCCAGCAGGTCGGGTCGATGCGCGGCCGGGGACCTCCAGAGTGACGCAAAAGGGCCGGAGACGCGTTCCCACGCCGTCATTGTGGTGCGCTATGCTTCCTCATTGCGATGCAACGCGCCGCAGCCGAGTTTCTCATAGGTTTCCGCAGTTTTACACCCCGTTCGAACACAATGAAAACAAGTGCGGAACAGCCGTAAAAGTTGTGCGCTTGTGCGTGCGTGTGTACCGACCGCGGCGGGCGGCTGGGCTGCAGCCGGCATTTTCACGCCAGAGACCTTTACCCAAACGATCCTTCTCCAGCACCAAACGCGTGTCACTCCACTGGAACACCTCACCACAAGGCAGCAGCGGCATGGCGACCACGCGCACGGGACGGGCGCTACAAAGTACGTAGCGCGAGAGAGAAAGGTGTACAGAGAGAGGTCCACGCATCTCTTTCTCTCTCCTGCGCCCGAACTACACAAGACCCTGTTTCCCGCTCACCGAGACACGCATTCCAGCCGGTATATACCGATAGGGAAAGCAAGCGACGTCAGAAGGGCTTAATATCGAATCACTCTTTATGCGTCCTTCCTCCTGTCTACCCCCCCCCCCCCCCCCTACTCCTCCTCTACCAGACACCTCGTCCATTACGGATGGACGCGGAGGGGAGAAATCGTGCAACGGTCGTCCGTTTTTATTTCATGACCCTGGCTGGACTCGAACCCCGCATGGCGGTCGTCGGGTTGGGCCAAGTGCAATCATAACCTCAACCTGCGCAGTCGCGTCAAGCCGCCGCGGGCCTCACGTATGGGGGGATGTGGCTGTCCACGGCGCCGCCGAGTTGCGGCAACCGGAAGTCACTTCCGGCCGCGCCCCGCCCCGCCGTGTACGCGCCTAGCGGGTCTGTGGCGCGCGGCGTTGATAGCGCGCGTAAATTTCATGCATTCTGATTAGGCATGCGAGTGCACTGCAGGTAGCGCACAACGCTGCGAAAACCCCCTCGCATAGAAAAAAGGGACGAGATAAGAGCGCGCAAAGACGCCTGCAGGCCCTGCATCTGTGAGACTCGTTGCACTACCATCACCGTATGTCAACGAAGAGCAGAAACCTCTGCTCCATAATTTTTGAAATATTTTTTTCTTCTTTTGTAAACGCGGAATCTCCTTATTCCTATTTATGGACTCGGCCGGCTGACGGTCAGTTTGCTTATGGGTCTTGCAGCGCGCGGCGCAAGGCCACGCCCGGTACATAGTACCTCACCTCCCGGGGGAGACAGTCGCGCTGCTCAAACAGTCCGCTCTGTCCGCGCAGTGTACTCACCTGCTGCGGCGACAGGGGCGAGAAACGCATGACCGAGTACTGGGTACCAACCTGAAACAAACACACGGGGGGATGAGCCAAACGGTTCTCTCTGCGGCAGCACAGCGGCTGCGACGACATCTCGGAGCAGAGACACACCCAAGAGAAAGGGGAAAATAAGTCGTGCGCGTGACTTTCAATTGCACACATCCTGCCCTGCCAAATGAATGATCGATACTAACTCCAATCGCGGACATTTTTTTTTTTAAATAATTAGTTCTCTCTGAAGCCCAGTAGCGACATGCCAGATGCTACTTTCCGATTGGCTCGTGCCTGGTTGTCCAGCCCAGGTGGGGCGGGGCGGGCCCTCCGCAGCCCAGGGCTCATTAAGGGCCGAACTCGCCCCGCTAATATCGCGTGCAATTATGGCGATACAATGCAAATACGGAAGCTGCTGCTCCTGCTGCTGCCACGGCACTTTCACAATATTGTTCTCGACAACAACTCTTACTTTGACGTTTCTCTCTCATCGCACACAGCAGGAGGAGCAGAGCAGCCCCTGGGAGAATAACTTACGAACGACGAGTGCACCTCGACCCGTCGACCGGCCTGACGTGCAGAAGCCCCCTTCCTCCCGCCCCTCGCCTTCCCCTCCTCAACCTAGTAGTCCACTTGCAGTATGGGCAAGGCGTCACGACAAGCATCATGATGGACTATTTCCATGAATTTGGTTTAGGCTAGGTCACCTGGTGCTGACGTGCAGGTAGTAGTCGGTGCTGCTGGAGTAGTGGCGGACGCCGCCGGGGACGCCGTGCAGGCCGCGGAGCGCCAGCAGCTTCCTGGCCGGCGTGTCGTCGTCGAGGATGCGGTTGTGGGGCGCGAGCGGCTCGACGGGCCGCCTCGACGGCGAAGAGGACGCCGACGACGAGCTGGTGACGGACGACGACGTGGTGCGGACATAGCGGTAGAAGCGGCGCCGCGGCACGTCCAGGTCGTGGTACGGGACCGCCTCTTGGTAGATGACGCTCGACTCCTGGCTGAGCTGGAACATGGTGGCGGCGGGGGCGGCGGCGGCGGCGGCGGCGGCGGCGGCGGTGGGGCGCTGCTACCCGTCCATCGTCCTGCAAACGAGCCTGGCTGTAGCCGCTGGCGGACGCGCTTCCACCGAGGCCGAGCCGAGACGTGCGGCCGAGCTGCCGTGCCGTGTCATTTCATTTCATCCAGAGGAGGACGACGAGGAGTGGGTCAGGATCAGACCCTCTTCCAACAACCCTGCTGCTGCTGCTGCTGCTGCTGCTGCTGCCGCTAATTCAATTATGCGAGCCTAGGTGGCGCAGCCTCGCCTGCCGAGTGTGACCGCCGACACACCGGTAGCAACTTTCTATCCGCTGCAGCGAGTACACACACACACACACACACACACACACACACACAGTCACTCGCGGCGCGATAGGAAAGCCATTAGTGCTCGTTTTCAATGAAGTGAGTAGTCTGCCCAACCCGTACCAAACGACCGACCCGGCCGGCCGGTCCCGATCGTAGCCGGAGAAATTGTAGACAGATCAAACGAGAAATTGCCCGAAGGTATAAAACAACATAAGATAATGTTTGATCAAGAAAAATAGTCGTGTTGACGTCGATATAAGGCGTCATATTGACGCGGCGCGCCGGGTCGACCTCAAAGTGACTTTTCCGGCTCAGAGGCGTTGCTGCTTTGCTCGCTCGCCGGCATTCCCGGACCGAAAACGATCCCAAACAGCCGCGGGCGACGCACGAGCCTCTCCTTCCCCTCGGCCCGGCACCGGGGGGAAGGGTAGGGGGGCATACAAAGTTGCCGTGCGCACATCACCGGCGCTCATCCTCGGGGGGATGGGACGGCAGGCGGGGGGCAGCGTCCCGCGGATCGCAGGGGCGGTATGGACCCCCAGCTGCGACTTCCGGCGGCCGGGGAGAGAAGAGTGAAAGGTCAGCCCGACGTACGCACACGCATCAAACTAGAAGCGCAGAGTGCACTTCTTTGGTGATGCATCGCCACATTAAAGTTATACTGCCGAGGACGAGAGAGCACATATAGCTAATATGAGCATATGGCACATCATTCCGCGCGTTTCTCTCGGATGTGGCCGCGCTGTGCTGTGCCGCGGCAGCCCAACAACATCACGCGCCGGATGAACAAGGGCGCGCACCGCACCGCGGACACTCCCGGCGAGGGAAAGGGAATTACTGGACTGGAATCGTTTTCGTGCCGCACCATACCTCCTCCTCCGGCCCACACCGGTCCCCCAAAACCGAGAGGGTGAACCACTAGGGTGTTCCATGTACACACTGAAGAATTTTCAAAAAACATTCTAAAACATCCAAGAATTTTCGTCCCCAAAAACACTTTCCCCCGCGGGGTGTCGGTGGGCGCGAGGCCGAGCCTCTGTTGGGGCCGGGCGGGTGAGCCAGGGAGCGTCTCCATTCGTAATCACGGCGTTACTAACTTTCTTCCCCCACCGCCTCTGTTATGACTGGACAGCAGGGCGCGACACCGAGTCTGTCACTTCGCCCATTGCGTCACACCCAGTGCGTCCGTCCACCTCTCTCCCTCTCTCTCACCTCTCTCTCTCCTCCCTCTGCCTCTTGGAAACCTCACACCTCTCAACCCAAACGCAATGCCCGTCCGTCACTGCGTGAATAATAAACATGCCCGCAAAAGCATTCTGATAGCGATTCCATGGCCTTTTTCTCCGCGTGCATGGTGTGATCTCTGCCAGCAGCAGGCAGGGGCAGGAGTGCACTGCCGGGCGATAAAAGCTAAAAAGGCGCTTTACGGCCTCACGTGCGAGACATCTGGCGACAGCAGACGGACAGCCGGACGGGGCCGGACAGACGGTCCGACAGTACGCAACGCAAAGGAAAAGAATAAAGTTACCTGACCAATCATTACAACCGCGGCGCACCACTCCCGACAAAGGGGAGCATAAACATAAGTTTTGTCCAGTGAGTAAAATGGCAATAAGGGCGCCAGAAGTGCGATGTGCAGGAGACCATAAAGACGCCATACGACTGCATTCCTTTGCAAATTCCAAACAAATTCTTTTGGTTTATTACGCGCTCAAGAGTTGGGATTGGGCTCCAGCTGTGTCGTCATTAACGACGGGGCAAAGGACAAAGTTTGCAAACGCCATTTCGCATTGCACAGTTTAACGACTGGCCGACATTGTGCAATCAAAACAAGCATATAAATGTGCGACAATATGTCCTCTGCAATACTGTCCACTAGAACAGCTGACCATGCAGCCGAAATCCAGCCCTAAAAATGAAATAAAAACAAAAACACTTTGATTTAACCGTTTTGACCAGACACGTCAAAGTGGCGTCACTGTGGGCCGTTTCGCGACTGCACCGGCGGCCACCACGAGGCAGCAGCAGCCCCATCCTCCGCCGGTCCGGTCCCTTTACGAGCAGATTCAATACCGGGCGGCCGGTGCGCTTTACGAGGCCGCGGGCGCCGCTTGCGCCGCTTGTCACGAGCGGAGCCACCTGACGGCCGCACAATGCCACGGCGGCTATCGCTTCGCCGAACGACGCACGCGGCCCGCCCGCCGCAAAACGACCCACATTCAGCTATTCATATTCGGAAGAGAGAGAGGAAACGCAAGTGCGACGCCCAAAACAAGCAGACGAAATCACAACTGTCATCAATTTGTCACGCGTACGAACCCATTTTTTTTTACTTTTTTTATTTTTTTTAAATAATGATTTTGGGGAGGGTAGGAGGGTGCTGGCGGGGGAGGACCCTCCGCGAGGCGCAGGAGGGGCCTCCCCGCCGTTAAACGGCGTCCAAACGGCAGCCAAACGGCCGCCTAATGGCTTCCTGAAAACGGCGGGAATTAGCGCGCGGGTAGGAGGAGGGGGGGGGGGGATGGCTGCGTCCGGAAACGGCATCCCCGTCTGTCTGGACGACGCGATGCCGCGGGTCGCGCCGCGAGAAAGAGAGAGAGAGAGAGAGAGAGAACAGACGAACGCAGCCAATCAGCGGTCGGCTCCTTCGGTCGGGTCGGTCCGCGGCGGCGAGCGTCCTGATTTATACACGTGACGTAACGCGTCCATCAGCCGGCTCATCGGGGCAGGACTGCTTCCGTCTGTCCTTTTACTTCCCGAGCCGGCGAGCCTCTCTCGAGAGGCAAGCGAAAAAAAAAAGAAAAAAAAATACGGGAGGCGTGTCGTGGGTATTCGAACACCGCGACGGCACATGTCGTTAACGCATCATATGTAGCCTGCAAGTGTCTGAGAGTTGCGGATATGTACTGAACACATTGAGGTCGTAAAAGAAAAACTACGGTCAAAAGAGGGGGATATACTATTCCCACGGCAACGCCAACGTGACGATCATGGAGCAGTCATGAAAAAGATACCAAAGGATATATATATTCTGCGAGGGAGTAACGATATTACGACGAGTGGCGGCGCATTTCTCATACCTCCATAACAATAATAATATGAATGTAGTTTGCGAGTAAGTAAACTTTAAGAGGACGGGATTGTTTTGTTACACGGGGTATCGCTTGGAAAATATTACAGTTCAAGTGCCGAAAAAGTAAGCTCTGTCCCTTCAGTGCGGTGCGGGCAGAGCAGGGCCCCTGGGAGGTAGGCCGCTCCGTCGAGCAGCCGTGGTCGGCGGGGTGGCCTACCCTTCCGTTGGCAGGCGCCCGGCCCCGGCCCTCGCCGCGTCCCCCGCGCCCGCCCAGCAACGGCCACGACGACCAAAGGAGAAGGATTAAACGATGCTTTTAAAAACACCACTCATCATGCTCCGAAGCAGAGCAAGGTCTGCTTTCGCTCCGTCGAGAGGAGTAACTCGTCGTTGCTTTCATCTCGAAACGTCCATCCGACAAAACGCGTTTTTTACATTATATTTCAACTCGTGTATAAATCTCTCTCGCTACTCTGCCGCTCTTCTCTCTGGTCTTCGTCGAGCACGCTAGCCCAGAGGACAGCCTTGAGCCCAATCGCCCAATTTGCGCAGCCACCACGCAAGCCCTCCTTGAGTCGCACCTCTAGTCCCCTCTAGACGAGCGCGGATGAGGTGTCGCGACGCGTCGCGTGCCTGAGCGCCATTCCGACTGCAGCAGCCACAGCATCAGCAGCTCCAAGATCACCCGTGGCGTGGACCACCGCATCAGTCCCACATAAAACCGGTCAAACTGTTGTGTCTGGCGATCGGCCCACCACCGCGCCGGCGCGCGCGCGCGCGTGTGTCCAACAGCGGCGCGTGTCCGTCCAGCCCGTCCGATTGACTGTCTTGCCTCTCGTTCCGGCGGCCGCAACAGCAGCAAAGCAGCCTCAGCAGCAGCAAGCAAAGCAACAGGGGAATTCCTGCGAGGTGTCCTGTCCGCAGGCCTGCTGCCAATAGATTTGCCGCAGACACGCGACACCAATTTCCTGCAGCAAGCAAGTGAACGTGCCAAACGTCCAGCAGCGAGCCACGGCCGGCCGCGGCCGCGCTACGAGTTCAAGTACCCCACGCTAAACTTGTGCAGATCTTTTCATTTCGTTTTTCTTTCTGACGCGCGCGACTGTAGCGGTGACCCTGGCGGCAGACGCACCTACACCCACACACACGCGCGTCGACTCATCACTGCAATCGGAAGAAGAGCCGACAATAGAACGCAACAAAGGGTCCCACAGTCCAAGGACGCGCGGCTCACAACAATGAGAACCACTCGGACAGCCGGCAGTAACAGACCATCGTGGGGGTTTCCTGCTGTCCGTTTTTAATGATCGGCTCTGAGAAGATATCCGTTCTGATTTGAAAGGTGTTAGAAAAAAAAAGTTAACGCAAAAACTATTTTTTCTCTTTTCTTTTTTGCATTCTCCATGTGGACTGTGGTGTCACTATGATGTATGCCTCCCGTTAGCCAAGCCTAATATCATCAAACGCGATCAAACTCAATCAATCAATCAGTATCAGTACGACCCTATACGACAATAATTGCCAGTGTCGGGCTGAGGCAACAACAGCAACAACAGCAAGCTACACAGCAGAGTAACGTTAGCAATTAGCTGCCCGCGGACATATCGTGACGTAACGCCAGCGTTCCATATCGCCGCTTATTCGCAGAACCGGGCGTCGTAG